ATAGAAAATCGCTTCTACTCATAATAAATGTGATGATCGGCACGGGTGGTCGTAAAATTTTGGCAGGCCACTGTACTTGACATAACATGTCTGAAGAGTCTTCACCAGGGGTAATTGAAGCCTTGCTTAATAGCAACGAAGAGTGAGTTGTCTGTATTAGAGCCACTCTTATACTCTTTCTTCTATGACAATGAAGCTTTTTTTTCACAAGTTAAATACATTCAAAACTCACTAGTTATGAAAGAGTCACACGCGCAATTGACATCTTGAATCGTCAGCTCGAACAGGCCCAGGCTGACATAGTCACGCTAAAACTAGCAAAGCAGCAGTGGTTGGCCGATCCGATTTCTCTTGCCGAAAGACTGCGTGATGGCGTAAGTCTACGAGAGTGTTTATTTTACTTACAATTAGAGGAAAATGGTTGGTGAAAACACTACAGGCTGTCTCTCTTTGATAGATTCGACTGATAGAAGTTTAATCCGCGTGTAGACTTTCGAACAAACCCCAAACTGGCAGCGCATTCATAGAACCCCAAGTATAGATTGGTCTAGATACCCGCGACGACCGTCATTGTGTGTTGGTGGTGACACTACGCGATATCATCCTTACAGATCAAACAGTGAAACGAAGGTACCTAATGTAGACTCTCCTCTTTTAATACCTGACCTTTTGTTCTATACTCTCACCGAATCTCTTCATACACTGCTTGTCTTTTTCCAACAGCCATCTCTTACCTCTCCAACGACCTCAATGAGCCCCATGTCGTCGACATCCCATTCTTCGACAGATGCCATATCGTCAACTATAACAAGCCCAGATGCGCCTCCAGAAGATCCATCTGATCTCATGGCATTTGTGTTGAAAGTAGGCGCGTCAGTTGGATTATATCCAAAAAGAAAACAATCAAAATCTGAATCCGAAGGATATAACGGTGATGGGGGACGAAGGTGGAGCAGCGGGTATAGCGAGGCACCGGCGCGGGGGAAGGGAATCGGCAAGAGCATGGAACTGTTGTTTCCGTCAGAGAATGAAAATCAGAGGTAAAAGACATGGAAAGGATGGTGTAAGATGATATGGAACCCACTGTGCGAAAAGGTTAAAGCAACTCAACGTTCAATACTTTTTACGGTATTTTAGGATAACCAATGAGGCTAGTACCGTAAAGAATGATGTCGAAGAAGTCAAGTCTGAGAGTGTTGCAACAGAAACCAGTTCTGCTGCTGCTGCTGCTGCTGCTGCTGCTGCTGCTGATGTAAATACACGAGTGTGTTCGGGTACATTTGGTGAAATTATGAATATGGTGATGAAATACTTGCTTAATTATAACTTGATTCGAATTAATGCTTATACCCTATATGAACTTGTTTGAATTATTTTTTGCAAAGGCAGTAGATAACGATTTTTCGAAGCCAGCCAACCATAATGTTCCGTGGACTGATGAGGAACAGGTATTGACGATCAAAAAAATCGATAATCGTTTTATTTTACCGTAACTTACCGGCTTGTCTGAATTTCAGCGTCGTTTGGTAGAATTATTACGAATATATCCAGATGAGGAAATTCAGTCACATCGGTTCAAGAGGATTTCAATGGCACTGGGAACAAGGACGCCTAAACAGGTTTATCAAATATTTAATTGATAAAGTGCATTTTACGAGTCTATAATAATAATAATGTTATTAACGGGAGAATTTGGTCAGGTTGCTAGTAGAATACAAAAATACTTCATAAAACTGGCTAAGCATGGCTTGCCTGTTCCCGGAAGAATGCCAAATCTGAACGTAAGTATATATGCTTAACCCCAGATTTTATCCTACTACTAGATTTTTGCTGAACGTGGCTCTAGTTCTCAGCATCCTCATCAATGATGAAAAATAAAAGTCCCGGCGTGGTCTCCAAGTCTAAATTTAAACCCACAAGACAACCAGATAGTCGGCCGCGAAGACCACGGTATTTATATTGATTACGATACGTTCTTTATCGAGTACTTGGGATCGCTAACAAAGAATCACTGTTATTTCAGCGTATCTGGAGTAGCATACATGGATTCACAGACACCACCAACCATACTAATGAACGAAAATGATGACGATGTCATAGAAATTATGCTAATGATTGTTGATGCCACTCAAAAGAGCATTGCCAACAAGGGAATAAAGGTCAATAAGAAATTCTGTATGATGTGATACTTGTGTTTAAGTGTAGGTGAATTAATTTGCGTATAACTTTTTATGTTATACTATTGCAGAATGGCAATAATAATGTTGGAGTGAATAACGTGATACACTATGGGTTTTGCGTAAGTTATAATGGTTTCGATACGTTAAAATAACTTTATGATGCTAATATGATCCTTTCAGTGCGATAGCTGCCAGATTGATCCCATAGTTGGGCCACGATATCAATGTGTTGATTGTATGGAAAAAGACCAGGAAATTGATCTATGTGAAGTTTGCATGGAAACCGACGACTTTGAAATAGGTATGATTTACCATTCAATGTTGGATGTGTACTAGGAACAAACATTTTCTCACATAAAATCATTTATTACCCAGATGGTCATCAAAAGACTCACCACTTTGCATTACGAACAACGTCCGAACCTATACAATCCAGAGAGAATAGTATATAAAATCGCCGATATAGTTTATGAAGTGGCTGCTTGTATATATAAATCTTTGGTTTCTATGGGCTAGTCTACAGTGTATTATTGAAATTAGCTGTAGGTTCATATATTATTATATTTCTGTTACAATCTACCGTGATAATCTATCATGCTCATCAAGTAATACAGTTAATATTAATTTCTTTCCCACCATATTAATGTGAACTCGACTTATTCTAATCCAAACATATGGTATGCCAAATGCACGACCACAAGAATTATCTATAAACAAAAGCAAGAACAAATTAGTTCAAATGATTGACTAAGTGAACTATCAGCTGAATAAAAAAACACATACTGGTTGCCAGACAACGAGATATCGTACTCCATCTAATAAACTGAGATACAGTTGCTGTTGTGTATCCCACCTGAAATCAAACATATCCACAAGTTAGCACGTTAGTTGGATACAAAGATTACGAGTTGCGCGTAAAACTTACGGATTAGTCTTGAATTCTTTCATATCAACCTTTTCCTTGCTAAAAAGCCAAGATGGAATTAGTAATTACAAACGGTATTCTAACTACAGATGTCGATATGCGTTGTGAATATCATACATACCAGTATGGACATATGTCTTTCTTCCCTATCAGACACCAACCTCGTATACATTCTTCATGGAACAAATGTCGACAGCTCAATTGATGTACTTGCTCATCCTCCTCACCGACGACACTACTGGCTGTCCCTCCACAAATAGCGCAGATATCTGCCTTCAGACCTTTACTAGGAAGACCATCTTTAGTATAATACCCCAACGCAGATGCCATTCGGTCAGTGCATATCTCCACAATATCTCTGCTCAGCACCCTAAGCACAATGTGTGGGGAAACAATAATTAATACGGAATCTAATTCCGATATGATCACGTAATAGATCGACTTACCCAAAGTATAGACCATAAGAAAGCAGCATAATACCAAGATCTGCAACGGCGGCACCATCGTAGAATATCTTCACAATCTCAAAGAACTGAAGCATCAGTAAAATGTATCCGAATATTCCTACTGTATATGATACTTTATTTACAGCGGCGAACCACCTATACACGAGTCTGGAGCGTACGTTCCATTAGTTATCATGTATATGAAAGTAGTAAATAAGATTATAATCAGATAAAGATTGTAAACTAACTTTGGAGTTTGCTGATCCAAGGGCTTTCTCGATGCAAGATGCAATACTAAGGGAGGTAAAAATAATGCAAATTATATGAATTGTAACCATCCGAGTAAAAAAAAATTCACAAAGAACGAGGGAAGGAAAAACGTTCACACAAAAGACGTATTAGAAAAAGACATACTGTAGCCATTCACAGCAGAATAAAGAGTCCATATCGTGAGGAATCTCAAAAACTGTAAATATATACCAAACAGGTACATTGGTATCAACCTATATATGTACAGAGAGTAAGTAAACATTTGCTGAGATGCAACAACGACACAAGAGTAATAAGCCATGATATACACCATAACCCGATAAGAGTAACTATCTGGAATGATTGATAGTGCTTTTGTTTCCAGTACAGTATTAGAAACTGGAAACTAAACAATGCGACCAGCAAAATCAATGCCATCGTACTGTGCTGTGATTCGTGTCCACTGTGCATCCTGGCGAACTCTTCTTGACTACTGGGTTTCACTTCACTGCAAAGACAAATCGTGCAACACGGTTAATAAAAAAAATGGGGCAAAAAGTAAATAAATAAAAAAAGAGAACGAATGTCGAAATCACATACTGTTCGTATGTAGTAAAACCTTCCGTTGATGGTATTGCTACAACGGTGGTCTCTTCGTCAGTAGTATTGACCATATTCCTATTCTATATATTGTTCTTGTAATAAATATGCAAATATTCTAAAGCTGGAAATTTGAAAAGTCGGCGAGCTTTGATAACATATCCATTTGCATTGTGATTGGTTACACAATAACCATATTTGGGCCCGTAGATAAATTTAAGACAATGATTATCATAGTGTCGATCTGGTAGGACCAACAAAATAATACCAATGACAGTAGCGGTAGAGCCAAATGCAGGGAAAAGCATTACTATTACCGGACCGATGTTTAAATCATGAATAATAATCCGTCACCAGTTTTTCCCGCGTTATCCAAGCCACTCCTCAATCATCACATGAGCGTGTCTTGTTGATTTTGTCAGTATTGCGTGATGGTTGAGATCGTTCATGGAATGATAATAACGGTAGAACTGTACAAGACTGTCTCGTAGTGACTTAAGTAATTATTGGACAGTTAGCTGTCACACTTGGACATGGGAAAATGTTCCTAATAATTGAATGTCAATTGAAAGCATTTTAACAAAAAGGATTATTTTCTACATCACGCCCTGCCCAGTCAATCTAACATGGTTTTGCTTGAAGGACATAAATTACCAAAAAATTATACTGTTTGTGATATCTTTTTGAAAAATAACAGACGCGCATCCTGTGTACGATTCGCTTGGCTAAATGTTACTCTATAAATATGATCATTACTCAGTACATTACAATGTCTTTCGAAACTTCTACATCGCTTAATCATTGATCGTTCATCCGCATATTGGCAACAGATAGACATATTTCAGTGCGTTCTCACCAGTACCATATTTAGGTGTAGGTATTTTGCTAAATTTAGCAAGAGGTAGAGGGGAGATAATTTACCCCCTCAAGTGCTAGAGGAGGTACCATGATTGGTATACAATACCATAATAGGCTTTGCCTGGTCATTATAGCTAATCAAGAATAATATTTGTAGATTGGATTGTATTTAGCCAACATGCTGTATCAAATAAAGAAATTTGCTATATTTTTAACTATATCCTTTATCAAATTTAGTAATTTAAATGTTACCCAAATCTGGTAAGAGAGGTTACTGATGAGATTACACTCATCTTTTTATCAATGATCCAAAAAAAGAATAACACAATAGATGTACAATGCTCATTATATCATTCTAACTCGCAATTTCCACGTATAAAAGATAAAAAAAAATAAAAAAATAAGTAGATTGGATAATAGAAGGTTAATTAGAATAGTTACTTTAACTTTACGATAGTTTAGAGTATGTAAATAAAATCTACACTCACTCTTCTAAAAAATATCAATCTTTTTTGAGATATATAAGTAAGTAATTTAACTTATTAATTTTTTTAAGTTCTGAAAACATATACATAGTGAACCTGGATACGGTGTGTTTTTTTATGCACCCAATTTTGTTTAATAAAATTTCCTGGATATAATGAAAACCTGCTATAACAAAGAAAAAGGGTACTTTATTATATCCAGGTTCACTGTGTATTAATATTGTTGTTTTAACCGTTTGGTAGCTGTTGTATGTCAGATCGGAATTTATGTCAATTCCGAAGTGATATATGTCAGATCAGAATTTTATATCGCTTATTAAAAATTTGAGCGGGAAAATTCTTTATCTTAGAGTGATTTTATCTTAAAGTGACTTTATTTGATCGAGTGAATAATATATTGTCGTATGTCAGTTTGGAAGCGACATAAAATTCTGATCTGATATAAATTCCGATCTGACATACAACAAGAAGTCTGTTGAGGTGGAGAGATATTAATCGGTTATATGCGCCGACACTACTTGAGTACTGATGATTTTCCGGGTCAAGAAGTTTTTTGTACGGTATTATCTGCTTTCATTTGTTTCGCTTTGCACAACAATAATACTTCGCTTTTCCCTCATTACACATATGCTCCCTTCGAGTACTTTCATCAAAGGCCAAATAGTAGCATTTATATCTACTTACGCACAATTACTACTACTACTACTTGATCTTATTCGTAGCTGCCTTTGCCATAGCTCGATTTTCAAAACACTTGGCGTAATACATCATCGTACAGATAGTTACAATGTTGCATTTGCAAAAGATACATTAATACACGCTATCGGAAATTTATGTAAATTTGCAAATTTCCTTGTAAGCCATATTCCAAAGTAAAGTTTCTGCGAATAGCAATAGTCATAAATTATGAAACCAAAGATTAATATCAGTACAAAGAACGGATAATGGTTCTCGTCTTCTTCATGTCTTGGCGTACATCGACCTTCTCTTCGCTTTCCCGTACTCATGGTACTTAGTGAAAGTGTGTTTAATAGTCAATTGTCCGTATAACCATTGGTTTTGTGCATTGTTTATAAATTAGGGTTGAACCAGTTCTTGACCCTCTATTTGATAATCACCGTCCAATTATTGGCCATAGAAAATCTATCGGCACCAGATCTTTAAAAGCATGTTTGTGTTTCGCACAATAGCATTCTGAGAAAGCCTTTGAACAAACTTGTATACTATGTCAACTCCGAGCAAATGTGCGTCATATTGTCGTTACAAGTGTATTGTTTCCCGAGACTACTACTATGAGCAGGATTCTCACCAATAAAGAACGTGAATAATTTCTTAATAGTGTACATAGGTCACCTTTCGTCTAGAACAGAGAAGAGAGATCTAGAGGAACTGGTACGAGAAAAACAACCTGTGGTTTTTGCTTTCAAAGCTATGTGTTATTATAATACAAGGTGGTTTTTACACTCTCTATTTCATAGTTCGAACGTTATGGGAAAGTACTAAGCGTAGAAGTTAAACCAATGGGATACGCATTTGTAGAGTTTGAGGTTAGGATAATGTCGAAAAGCCCCTACGATCGGGTGGCGTCTCTGATACATGAAAATGCATGCTGCTATTTCCGTCTCTTGCTTCTCACTTTACGTTTATTTTTACAAAGGATCCTCGAGATGCGGATGATGCTGTTAAGCAACTAAATGGTTACGAGTTAGACGGAGCTCGCATTGCTGTCGAATGGTCACGTCGTTCAGGAGGACCAGGGAGTGGCTGTTTCTTATGTAGTGGGCAAGGTCATTGGGCCAGGGAATGTCCTGAAGCTAGAGAGAAAGGCATGGATGTGCGGAGTGGACGATGCTTCAGATGCGGGGAACCTGGGCATTTGGCTAAATATTGCAGGTATTTCACGATAAATTTAACGATTACAACGGACTTGAAAGAGTTTATAGTTGGGCTCAGGATTATCAACTCTATGTAGGGGGGATGGCGAATACAGCAGAGGAAGAGGTCCATCAGGAAGGTCTTCTAGATACAATCGAGATAGGTCTCCCTATGATGACAGGAGACGTGATTATGATGACTATGATCGACATCGCCGTTATTCCAGATCTCCTTCAAGATCGCCCGAGAGGTCTTACTCGCACTCAAGGAATAGATCTCGAAGTCCGTTTGCCAGGCGCACTCCTAGCCCATATAATAACAACTATGGAAAGAGGAGTCCAAGTCCGTATGGGTAAGTGTTCCACTATATATCTCTTTTTCAACCCGTCTAGCTTTTTACTTTTTCTTCTTTGTTGTTTTGCTGTATGCGGTTTATATTCTATTTTTTTGTATACGTACATGTGTGGGGGAGGGAGTGAACGGTTTTTTCTGGACCTGTTCTGGAGTAATATTTCTGGAAAGGGGCTAAGGAACTCTTAGGAGGAAAAAAGCGCATTTGGAAAGTGTGATGACTATGTGATCATTGTTAACCGGATATTAGAATAATCAATAAGGAGACGAAGGAGAGATGGCACATAGGATTGTGGGATTATAGCTTACAAATAACTTTTTCTGCGCATATTCAATGACATTGTGAACATCTTTCATAACATTCTTGTCGGGAACTCTTTATTCGTTAGCAGGCGTGGAAGACGATACGACTAGTTCAGCAAACGACATGAGGCTGTACATCTCTTGCGAAAGGACGAATGCACAATTATTACATTAGAGAACGGAGCCATAATATTTCGTTTGCTTTATTCGGGAGGATGTTTGTTTTCTTTCGTTACCTCAGGACCGGGAAGGCATTTATCTTTCCGCACGCGTGGCGTATTGGATTATAGATTAGCGTCATGGGAAACCGATCTCCTTTTTTGTATGAATTAGTTCATTCTTATACCGCTCATGGGGATCAGATGTGGAGCAGGATGGGCTTTTGTAGTAAAAAATTATGAAGTTGCTGGACATGTTAACATGCAAAGGATTGACGTATGTTCAAAAAGGTTGAGTCTTTGTAACCATGCGGGCTCGGATATCAAGGGCGTGTTTTTATTGGGATCATGGAACCCTTTTAATGGTAGTTTCATAATGAAAAAAAAAGTTCATGATTCGTGATCTATGGCGAAGGAGTGCGAATATGTAAATGTGATCTCCTTTGTCATTCAGTGAGACGTGTATAGCATTGTTCTTGTTTCACGGAACCAAATTTGCATCTTGTGAAAAGGGAAACGGCTTCTTGCTGGTGATTAAGCCACCGGTTATCTGGATGCTTGCTGCGGATAACGACTTTGCCTATAGGATGAGACGATTCATGCTGATTGCTGGTCTGATATTGCCCTCGAATGATGTGTGAATCAGACGTAGAGCAATTAATAACAGTAGAGGTTTATGAGAACTTTCAGTCGGCAATCTTAGTCCACTGAACAAAGAAAAGTTAATAGCTATGTAGTAATGTCGTGTTTGTTCTCGAGTTACGATAACCTGTGGCTTCAAACAGGTCTAATGGTAGTAAATGCTTTTAATTACTGTTTTCCTTGTGTTAGTAAGCCTGAATATGGAACAAACTTCTTTAAACGTAACAGGAGCGGGATAACTCGTCAACACACTTGAAGACGTGAAAACTAAGATGATGCACACAATAGAAAGATCATGTGGTTGAGTTGGAGGATTAACAGGTAAATATATTCAATCAATGTTTGATTTGAAGACATGCAAAATAGATATGGTAAGGATTGGAAGGCTATGTTACTTCACAACAGATGATAACAATAATTGGTAAACTTTACGAAGACTATAACGTTGTTTGATTCCTAGATAGAACTGATTAATAGACAGACATGAGAGGTATCTAGTATAGTCATTTTTGACATATGTGTTTTGAAGGCAGACGCTTATTTTGATTAGTACTATCAGAAGCTAGAGTATTGCACCAGATACGATTCGAGATTTCACTTCAGTGAAGCTAAACTGAATCTTTTCTTTTAGCCATATGGGATGATAAATGTAGCACTCAATGATGATAATTTTTTTGTTTTAAAGGTCCAAACTTATTGATACTAATATTATGGACAAGTTTGTCCCAAGTATCTTGCATTCTCTGTAATAGCCATGTTTTTTGAACCAACAGTTAGATGCAATTTCATTGATGATAATTTATTGATGATATCACGCATTCGAAAAAGTTCTAGAGACGTTCAAGTGACGGAAATAAATAGGTAATTTACATATTATCAATCTAATGTCGTTTAGGCCATCTTCATTTTCTGCCTCTGCGCAATTTTGGCCTAAAAATTATACAATACGGTCAGCATGCATGCAAGCATAGAAATCACAGATATCACTTTGTTTGAACACAGCTTTCTCTTGACACTTGATACTTAACCTTAATAGCATCACCACCAAACACCATGCAGACAGTTTGCCATACACCAAGACCAATTCTAGGCGTGACTCCACGATAGAAACCCTTCAGGCCATTGTTCTGATAGATGTACTTGGCGCAAGTAAGAATTGACATTTTCTCTGGACGACCCGCAGCCTTTACTTGGGATTGCATCTCAACACGGATGACCTCGATAGGCTGATTGATAACGTATTCAGAATATATAGAATAGGTCACCACATATTGCAAATCAACAAACAAACGCTTCAGGAGTATCTTCTTCCTCCTCCCCTTCTCATCATCACGTTCCCTCTCACCATGTACTAACCTGATTCCAACATGATAAGCCACCACCAAGAGCACTAGCCAAAATCTTCTGGAGGGGCGACAATGGTCTCGAGAAATCAGGCGTGTCGCCATCTCTAACCCTTCTAATTAGAGTCTCGCTCAACCTCGTCAAACCGAATCTACTAGCCCAATTTGTGCATTGTCTAACCGCTACTGCATTAACACCTTTGTTAATCCCGCGGATACCTTCTCGTTTAAGAATGTCCCTAGCGATCTTAATTGTGGATACCTGTTTTCCAGCAGGGGCTTTATGACGGGTTACCTCGACCGTCTTCATAAAGGTACAGAATCCCATTGTAGTGTACGCTTGGGCTAGACCACCGCCCATGCCGCCTATAATACCGGACTATATCGGGAGAAGTATCGGTTGGGGGAAAATGAAAAGGTGGGGAGAAGGAATGATATAAGAATTGATCGAGAGCAAGTCATTGAAATGATATGATACAACCATAAAAGGTGATGCCCCAGTGACTCTTGCTCTGTATTCAATTTCACTTGCGGTAAAAATCAAAACAGCACCCTAGATTTTATTGATAGATTATTTGGAATTAGCACATGATGTTGTTTTTGATCATTGAGAAAAAACGGGCCGTAAATTAAGCGCTGTCTCACTTTCGTGCAAGCTTCGATCCAAGCCCAGGGAATCAATCCCTGATAGAATCCAAGAATTCCTCCACGCTGATAGGTTTTCTTGGCAGCAACGAAAATGTTGTCATTTCGATTTGCTGCCAAGTGTGTTTTTAACACTTCAAAGGGCTGACCGAGAGTTGAGACTTCGAACATGTTTAATCCTTTAAACATATCGAGAATAAAAAAGATTAATGCACTTTCATGGCTTATCAAAAACTGGCTGTCATCTCAAATTTATCATCTAAGAAAAAGGTCGATAAGCGAGAGAGAAAAGAAAGAGGTAAGAGATTTTCTTCTTACCAGCTCCAACCGCTAGATTAACCCAGCTGATAGGCTTTTTCTCAAGTTTGTCACCTGCTGGCGTGGCCCCAACATCAATACCCATTATCAATGCAAAAGTCTTGGTTTAGTATTGAAGGGATGTGGAGATGGAAAAGAACTTAGATCAAATTTTGTGTACGACTAGACTAATTAGGAGTGAATTATCTGACGTCAATTTAATTAGTTTTATCAGATCATCAGCTGACTCGCACGACATATTGCCCTTATCTATTATTGGTCATTTATATCTATCCCAACAGATACAGAATGTCCAATCGGGATTTTCCTAAAGGAGTGTCCCGATAGTCAAATATTAAAACAGCTCTTGTCACTGCTGTTCTCACTTCTCTAGCAAGCAAATATGGCCGACGTAAACTTGAGGATAGGCGTACTGGCCGCTAGAGATTTGGCCATAGCGTAAGTAATCTCAAAGATGAGAATCGGACTGCCCGAGCTACACGTATACCGTAGACTCATCTCGCAGTATTCATGGCCACTAGCCGTTTCTTCTAATTGTCTAGTTTTGATTTTTCAATAATCTCTTGTTCCGTACTTAATACTAGAGATAAGAATGGTTTTTCCGATCCGTACGTCATCGTTCGTGTGGGTAAATCAAAATATCAAACACCGGTCATTCCCAAGAATCTCAACCCCGTTTGGAATGCAGTCTTTGACCATAAACTATCCTCCACAAACATACCAGTCGCCATCACCGTCACCGTTTGGGATGATGATAGTTTTGGTCGCGACTTTCTTGGTGAAGTTACTATTCCTATGAGACGATTATTCGACCGAAATAGCGGTGGAGGCAATGATGGTATACCACGAAAGTACGATGATCCTAGGAATCTTCCGGCTGCTTACACGTTGCAGAAGAAGACGGCGAAAAGTAATGTTAAGGGAGATATCGTGTTGAAGTTTGGATTTAGCAATACTCCCGATAGGAGCGACGAGGATTGGATATATTTTTGGGAGCAGTATACAGTTCAGGCTGGGGCCTCCTAAGTAATAGAGAAAATTGGTGTTCGTAATCATATCAAGGTTTATTTAGCTATGACGTTGGTTGGATTGAGCAAAAGGCAATCTGTGAGTTGTGTCGATATTTGTTGGTTATAATCAAATTTTATTTAATTACCAAGATATAATACCGCATCATTAAAAACGACCTTGCTATGTTTTGACTGGGTAAGGAAAGTTTTGTTTTTTGAGTGACGAAAGCATTGCCGACGATGCACAGACGGTACCCGAAGAGTTTGCTGTTTAAGGAAACCCCGGAAATCATGCTTGCGATGCTGTCTTATATACAAAGAAATCGCACACTTGATACCGAAATCTAGTTGGATAGATAGCGATTTGGGTTAATCGAAAAGATTTTGATTGACAGTGTAGGGCTGAATCCACTTTCGTTGGGAAGCTTAACATTCATGCTATACGAAAATTTTAACAGACGTTTATAGCATTGGATATAGACAACGGGATATAGGGTACATCTAGTGTTCAATGTATGCGTGTAATTGTCAATGCTACAAGTTTTCCGTTTCTCTATGAAACTATATAAGATACATACTTTGTTCCATAATTGGGAGTAGATGTTGGTATATTGACCAATGGTGCTCTGCCGCAAAATAGCGTAACACAAGCTTCCCCTCTATATCAAACCGGTGAAACATAAAATCAATAATGGCGTTTAGCGTCGCCATGTTGCTTTACTATGAATTTTCCTTATTTGCGAACAAAGTTGAATATGTGGTCGGTTTGTTTGTTTGCCAGAAACTTACGCTGAAAATCATATTCGATATCCGTCAACAAAAAAGTATATATCTATAAACTAAAAACCGAATGCGTTGAACGTGTGGTTAACTATCAACAAAAGTATTGCAGATTTAATTTTTTCAAACACTTCTATTGTTTATATGTACTATGTGTAAGTCATTGTAAATTTTCCATCAAAAGTATCGAGATTTACTGCTGACTGTATGGAGCGTATAATTGAAAAAATAATAATGTGAAATGAAAATAGTTAATCGTAATGATGGAGTGGGGGCAATGAAATGGCCGTATAAAACATATGTTTTGACAAAATCACCAACACTTTTGTCCAGTTTATACATAAAACCGAAGTTAAGCTTTACTGTATATCTACAAAATGTCAATTAATTATCTGCGTTCTCTTATTATATAAACAAATGGCTCGCAGAACAATTCAGAAAACAGCCAACATGTTGTATTCAGGGAAAGTTTACTAAAACTCAAAGCAATATTTATTTACTGTTTGTAATAGGATCAAACGCGATTATATTATTGACAGGGGTAATGTAAACAAGTAGCAGAGTAATATTAATTATGAAGAATTATGTCGATGTCTGATGCGTAATTAATTGTTCATATAACATATCAGATAAGTTGAAATTTGGGATTTTTGTTGTTTTCAGTCAAGTAATTTACGGACTGGAAAGTTTTCTGTGTAGGGCCTCTAGATTGTAATTTTCAAATGCATACATGTTTTGTGTAACAAATAAAACTGACGATTCAGTATGACTCACATCCCGTGTTGGCAGATGTAGAAGAAAAACAGGCATTGTCTATCAGCACAATTAAACGCCGGGTTGCTATACTCAAGGACGGAAAAAATTAAAAAAACAAACCTCTGTGACGTCATAACAATGTCCGCACTACGTAAGTATAACGGAATATGCACTTTACGTGGACTGAGATAATAAATTTTACCTACTTGCTGATCGAAATGGGGCACGCGAACGTTTTGTGCTCAATCATAGCTGTAATGAGCAGTAGCGTCAACGCTACAATAATCAACTTTACCTCCTGTTGCGACGTAACTATTAACTGATTTTCTCTGTTGTTCTGCTAATTTCGTATTTTTGTTGTAATACTTTCTCTCTAATTTAGCCTTAACTAAATGTTCTTTGTTTTTTTACTAAGTCTTTTGTTTCTTCCTTGCGAGCATTATACTGTAAGCCATTTCGAAAATGTTGGCACGTGTCACAAAATCCGTTCTTGGACTCATAATTTGAACATACGGCGTCAATTGATGCCATAACTTGCGGAACGCGTCATATTTTAACAAGTTCAATGTGCTATCGTTTTCGAGACTTACAATAAAATTACGATAGGCTGACTTGTAACTCATTTCGGCTGGCAGTAGCGTAGCTATTGAGTAATGCGATTGACATTTCTGCCAGGACTTGGTAAGGGAGGCAATCATTTCGTCGACAATCATTTCGCCGACAAATGTTTACCAACATTATTTCGAAATTATCCTTTTTAGGTAATTAATTGTCGGCGAAATGAACTGTCAACGAAATGATTGTCGACGAAATGATACGGACCCCTTGGTAATCCGTGAATTTCAGCATAGTTTTCGATAAAATTCTTTACGGCGGTAGCAACGGTTATGTCAATGGTTATTTTTGTTTTCCATCGCGGTACTCTTTTTACATTACCATGAACACGCGGTATTTATACCATTTGTCACTAGGTAATTTCTGACATTTTCGAAGTGATATTGCGACCATATTGAGATACGTTTTCTGACAAAGAGGCGTATTGCGATCTCAATAATAAAAAGTCTTTTTGTTAGTACGTGTTTTCGTTTTAAGACGTCGACTGGCAGTTACTGTATTTCTCTGACATTCATTGCATTCAGCTGGGCCATTAAAAATATATCTTGTTCGGATCTAGAGAGCTTGAAATGCTTCACGTAATTCGGCAAACTTTTCTCTCGGAATCTTTTGAGGGCAACCACAATAACAACCTGTCTCCAAGAAACGTATTGCTTTTCATATTCACGGATAGTCCTATATTAATAAGTGATAATTGGACATTCTGAACCTGAATCAATTACACGCTGTTGCTTTAACATTTCTTTATTTATAACAGACTTGATGTCAGCTTCGGTCATTGTAAATGTTAAATAGTTATTTATTAATACGAATTTAAAAATGCAGAATTAAATATATTGTTATAACAAAACTTCACAATGAAAATTTTATCTTGCAAAATTAGGCCCTTGGGCAACTCTACGAGTCATAAAGTACCAATAACAGTTATACTACTAGAATCCGGTGCTAATTGTAATATTATAGGTGAGGAAGTAGTAAAAGCATAGGCTTGAAAATCGATGACATCTGCGATGCAGAAATATATAATCCCATTAGCAAGGTCGATGTGTTGGGAATATTCATGAAATAAAGATTTCGATCCTGTCTCAAGATCGTAAATGGGAGCAAGTAGTAGTTACTGATGTTTTCGTTACTAATAAACCCGAACCTGAATCTGTACTGATATTGGGTCAGCCATGGTTCCAGGAAAATGCAATAAAAGTGGACTTTTCTAATAAAACTTTTACATTGCTCGATGGAACTGATATACAATTAGTTATTGGACCAAAAATTCCACCACCAACACAGCTCAATCAGTCTGTGGATGATTACTTCAAGATGATAAAGGTATATGCTACAACATTGGATATTGACTTAGAAAATCAAGACCTTAAGGAAACTTTCTTTAATGGCCTATCACGAGATAATAAAAAAGAAGTAATTCGATTCGGCTTTAAAAAGCCTTTGAATAAAATAGTCGTTCACTTGAATAGAATCTCATCTGGATATACTGATATTCAAAATTTTCAATTCGGAAATTTGAGTCAAGAGGAGTATTGCAAAGCAATGGCCTAGAGGGCCCACGAGATAGGTTAAGTGAATATGGTGTAAATTATATCGTTAACAATATTAAAACGTCAGAAGCATGGTTATGGTTTGCAAAATATTATCCACCAAAATACATTTATTAAAATTAGGATATTAAATAAATAGTAGAGATTACTGGGAAAATTTTGTGTTTCGTATCAAAAATAATTTAACCAGCCATAAGCAAATAGGTAATGACCCTAAATATAGGAATTTAAAGTTCAACTAGCATTATATAAAAATCGTGCAGTCATTAATTATCCAGAAGACATATCGTTTATGGAAAAAACAAATTAATTCTGCTAAAATAATCCAGCATGCAGGATTAAATGGCTATTACCGGGTAGCACATTAATGAAACAAGCCAAAGATCGATATTACGTGGTATTGTGTTGCAATGGGACTTTGTCCCTATCAAATGCGAACAAGCTCCATCATTAGATAGAGATCTTATTTCTGCAATCAGGCCCTTAGGAGTGACCCTTTGGGCCATAATTATATCAGCTTCTGTCATTGTAAATGTTTATTAATACGTATTTAAAAGTGCGCCTAAATTAATATCCGAACATTAGCTTTTTTTCCGATTAAAGATATATAATATATATTCTTAAAAATGGGACAACTATTGCAGAGCAGGCGATTCTTCGAATTATGACTTAAAGGGTCTAAATATTTTTAACTTACCAGAATTGCTAGAACAGATCTTATATTATTTAGAAATAGATCGATCCCTCTATCCCACTTTATTTGTTAACCGCTTTTGGTATCACTGCAGTGCTCCTATTCTATGGCGTCGCGTTGATTTTTTCATAGATTGTCAAGGAAACACATATAATAACAATTCATCTGGAGATCTTTATTGGCGATTCTTGAAGTTTAAAAGGGTTATGTGTGGAAAAATAAAGCCACTCTATCGTTTAATCTTAGTTTGGAAGGTTTAAACATCTCAGATGCTTTGATCAGTGCAATTCTGCATTCATGCCCAGATATACGCTTTCTTATTCTTAATTGAAGTTATGGTTTTACTAATATACCAATTATAGAAATTGCAAAATTTTGTCCAAAATTAATACACTTAAGTCTTAATTCATGTAATGTCTCACTAATCGATGTATTACTGAAATAACGCGTTCTTGTCCAAAACTTAGACATCTTGAGCTTGTTAATTGTTCAATCAGTAATAAAGTTGTTGAGGAAATAGCCCACAACTGTACTAATTTGGAATATCTTAGTTTGAAGGAATGTAAAGGGATTAGTGAGAAGCGATAAAAAAACTCAATCCAAAAATTAAAATTGAATGTCCTGATTATTCAGATAAAGAATGGTCCAATTCTGATCTACTTTTACCTATTCCAATGTTTACTGGTGCATTATCAGACGCAACAGATTTAATTTCTTCGCTCAGTAATTGTATCAGAGAGATTGGTGGGATTAATCTTAATTATTCATGGTATACAAATAATTTTATTTAGTAGTGGAGAATGAGTAGACCCGAAGGGTCATTGCTTTGCAATAATTATTCGGACTGAGTTATTTTTTTGGATAAAGATATAGTGCATAATATAAATTATATTACAAGATGGCATATGTAAAATGTAAATCCATGAAGAGGGTCACAAGCCTTACTTGGTTAAGGCATTAATTGATACATCGCCGGCCGAAAACATCATTAGAAAAAGCTTAGTCGATAAACTTGGAATAAAATATAGCGACCCACCAAAATATATTAAAAAGAGAATGGAGAGTGCTGTAGGTATCGTGGAAAGCCTTGAATTATCTTTTCGATTTAAGGGTGGGGATAAATTAGTATGAGGTTTTAAATGAATTTGTGGTCTGCAAAGAACCTAAAGCTGATCTTGTATTAGGAATGCCATGGTTGTGGTTGCGTGAAACAATAATCGATCCTCATGGCGAAAGAATTTCAATCTATGGCGGAGTTATACCATTCTGCAAGAATAGCGCCAGCCCCACTAAAAATAATCGATTTAGGTCTGATTTATCAATAATAATAAATGAGATCGCAAATACAATTAACAAAATTCTCTCAGATGTCGAAAATCATAACACCGAAAGAGACGTCATGGAATATTTCATAACACACCTCCTGCACCTCTATTACCCAGAAAAATGGATGACAATGTTTCCAAAATAGCAAAGCTACCAAGAATAAGAAATACCCTAAAGTAGATTTAGGCGATGGATGTGGAAATCTTTCAATCAAAACGCACCTCAATAATATTTGGAAGTCGGTTCATTCTATAGAAAATGATATAGAGTATGGAATTTTTGAAAAACTTTGTATTATTGAGTATGAACTAAGCTGTATAAATAAAGCAAAGCAACCGTGGATAAAATCTGAGACAGAGAGTAATTCATCCAGCTCTGATTCAGAATCTATCAGTTCAGACTCGTATGATCTTGATCCGATAAAACCCCGAAAGAATCGTGTTCATATTAGCGAAGCTAGCAAGGCTAAAAAGAAAAAGGTTGACTCTTCTATCCCGAAAACTTCGTAAAAATAAGCATACCAACTGTGTCCGCAAGTAGTGATCCATCCAATCAGAATAATTAAAAAACCGTTAACGGTCAGATATTTATCAACCAATCACATCATGGGTAGGATCAGCATAGAAGTTCGTGGAACATGGCCTCTGATGGGTCATAATCGCATGTTTATCCGAAGTTTCCATTGATTCTTATTGCTCTATGCTTTCACCGTTACTATTTGGATTGAATTTTGATAATTCTTATAACATTTGATACGATAAGTTTTGTATTGACATAATCACCACTACCCCATAGACACTTTATATTATCTCTTATTATGATCTTTGTCGCATAAAGGACAGATTACTGAACAGTCAAAATAATTATTATCCCCACTACTATATTTCAAAGATAAAACGGGAAATCGTTCCAATGCCATTTTGATAACATGTTTTTGCTTCTCTTCTGGATTATCGGGTAAAATATAGATAGGAGGCCGAAAATTATTAGATATATTTACATTGACTTTTGTATCACTTACTACACTTACATCAGTTTCTGGTAAAGTTTGCTCAGTTACGTGTGCGTTCCAATTTGGAACGGAGATTACTTTTCGATTTTCATTTATAGTAGTTGACTTAGAAAAATCGATTATGATATTTTGAATTTGAACATTGAAATAGCACTTGCACTGTAAGACACCTGGCTAATTTTATCTATTCCTATACCTTTAAACAATATATAAACTCTTTTAGCTCTGAAAGTTATTTTACGCAAGTTTACATCAGTAACATCAGGTAGAAGTGATTTGATTTCATCATATACCAATGTTCTTGCAGATTTGTCATCAATTTTATCCATAGTCTTAATATTTCTAACCCTATTCTCGTACGCTTTATAATAATAGTACCAGCATAAAATCTCCTTTTGTCTAGTCTTCATAGCAATGTTAAATAAATCAGCTATATTTTCTGCTGTAACTTTACTAGATCCTGTTAGAATTGCTTCTATAGAGAATTCAGGAATCTGTATATCAATTACATTACTAATCTGGTGGTTATTATCTTTGGTGCAAATAGATAGCTCGAGTCTTAAACCTCGTTCTACCTTTTGATTATAAGGAATTTTTGCGGAGCAAAGCGTTTCACGCTTCTGATTAAGCGATACATTAGTAGGCGATTTGGACTCAGAATCACATGATGAATTATTATCCGAAGATAACTCAGAACTATTAGAGATAGATTGCGATATTATAGATGATTCCAGATTTTGATTTTCGTAGGATGGTTCCGATGAAGTACTATCCAAAGATGAATTTTGATCTCGAAGTTTCTTTTCCCTAATTCTCTCTATATCTCTTTACTAACATGTTCTTTATGTTTCATTTCTACAAAATCAAGGGTCTCGTCCGTATCATTATCGGTAATATTTTGTGACAAAGAGGTTGTAGATGATTCAGTTTTTTGGACCTGGGTTGAGCTATGTTCTATTCCGGTTATAGGGTCGGGAGTAATAGCTTCCTCCTTATCGGGTTGACTCTCATTAAGTGGCGAAATTTCTTTTGTGGGAATATCATCAGATATATCTGATGCCGAAACATCCCCAGTTTGTACGTCTATTTGTTCGGGGGTAACGCTAGAATTTTCCATTCGGTAGAAACACTTACTATCTTTTTCTCGGAAATTGGCAATTGCTCCGGAGAATCAGTGATTATTCCCTTTGATTTTATTTCCTCGAAATTACAGCTTAATTTTGCTACTTTGATTTTAAGCTCAGAATTTTCAGCTGATAGATAGGTGATATCTTTTATTTCTTTTTAGTTCCATCTTAAGGTTAATGTTCTCGGTTTCGCGTTTAGCATTCTCTTCAATAATTTGTTTTAGCTTCGCATTCTCAGCCTCAAGATCAATAACCCGTTGTTTCAATAAATCAAACTCAGATTGCATTTTAGTAACTTTTTATATAAAAAGATTTATTTAGAATTTCCGTTCCAATTTGGAACGCAGATCACTTTCGCTAAGAAATTATTCCGGAAAAATTATTGATTACACAAATACAATGTACGAAAAAATAATCAAAAGCGTCACTATTCGACGAGCCGTTAAGGTCAAATACAAATAACCTAGAGCCGATGTCCCACTCAAGAAGAATAGCGTTTACTTTCGCAGAAAAAAAGAAGCGTGGGAAGCGGACTTCGGATTTTATTGATTTTCATTGAAAGAAGCATGACAAGCTTGTCACAGCAATGTTACGCAAATCACATGGAAAATATAATCGATCATGTGTCTCTGACATATATGAAGTCATTATTCGAATTATCAACTGCTTTATTTTGCTTTTAAAATTTGTGCAGTTTTTTTAGTCCCAGACTGTATGTCAACATCGAA